CGCCCCGCCCTCCCCTGCGCCCCTGCTGCTGGACCTGGGTGTCCCTGCGGGCCAGCGGTCAGCCAAGAGCCCCCGGCGGGAGGAGGAGACCCGCGGTGAGTGACCGAGGCCAGCCTGCTGCGCCGAGTCGAGATGGCCGCCAGACAGGGGAGGAATGGAGGGGCCGGGAGGCAAGGCCAGGGCCACAGCCATCTGCTGGACCCCCAAACCGGGCCTCTGGGGCACTGGGGTCATATGGGGGGAGCTAAGTTCCAAGTTCTAAGCCATCCAGTGGGCTAAGCCCATTGCAAAACAATAGAGCTTTTATTGATGAATTTATTTTTAATTATAAAAAGAGACAGGCCTTGCTATGTTGTCCAGGCTGGTCTTGAACTCCCCACCTCAAGCGATCCTCCCACTTCGGCCTCCCAAACCAGGATTACAGGCGTGAGCCACCCTGCCTGGCGAGAAGTAATAATAATAGCAGCAAACTCCTATGGGTTGCTTACTTGTGCCAAGTGCTGTTGGCAGTGCTTTCAAGAGATTGTCTCCTTTAATTGTCATAGCCTGGGAACTAAGTATGATATCCACTTTCTAGTTGAAGAAATTAAGGCAAAGATTAAGGGACTTGTGGCTCCACGACTAGTAAGTGGCAGGGCTGGGATCTGAGTCCACGCAGTTCTGCTCCAAAGGCCTCTAAACCACATCAGAATAAACAGATGCACCACAGAGCATCAAGGGCCCTGGAAGTTGAGTCAGGTCGCTCCACTGTACAGATGGGGAAACCGAGGCCTAGGAGGCAGTGCTCCTGCGACAGCGGCATCACCCTGTTTCTTTCCTCCCCTCACAAGGAGGCACCGTCTCACCCCCACCAGGGATATCACGCTCCGCTCCCGGCACCCCAGGAACCCCGCGCTCACCGCCCCTGGGCCTCATCAGCAGACCTCGGCCCTCACCCCTTCGTAGCCGCATCGACCCATGGAGCTTTGTGTCAGCCGGACCACGAGCTTCACCCCTACCCTCACCGCAGCCCACACCCCGCCGGGCACCCTGGACCTTGTTCCCGGACTCAGACCCCTTCTGGGACTCCCCACCTGCCAACCCCTTCCGGGGGGGACCCCAGGACTGCAGGGCACAGACCAAAGACGTGGGTGCTCAGGCCCCGTGGGTGCCAGAGGCGGGGCCTTGAGTGGGCCAGGCCGCTCCCCGACGCTCCGGCTGTCGGAGAGGGGCCACAGTATACACTGGAACGGGAGCCGGGCCGGCCTCTGTGGCTGCCTCAGTTTCCCCCAGGGACCCCGCCCCTCTTGGGGGTCAGGAACACTACACTGCACAGGAAGCCTTCACACTGGATGGGGGGCTGCACCCCCCCACACCTGCAACCTATAGGTCCCCCCAACTTACCTGCCCCCTGGGGCCCGCCACTGTGCCCAGCTGGTTGGGAGGACCAGAGCCTGTCTCAGGGAATTGCCCTCCGGGAGGTGCGGGAAGGAGGGGCGGTGCAGGGGGGAGGGGCCAGCCTCAGCTGCCACCAGCACTTTTGACCAAGTCCTGCTACTGAGGACCCTGCCCTGGGGTTTAGTGCCTGGACCCCACTGCCCTGGGGGTTCCCTGGGGCTGGGGCTCTCTGGGTGCCTTTCTGCTTCCCCAGCCAGGGTTGGGGCCTTTGCCTCGGGATCCAATGAAGCCAAATAAACTCGAAAGCTGTCTCCCCAAGTGCAGCCTGTCACCTTTCTTGGAGGTAACCAGGAGACCCAGTCTGTCGCGTGACCCTGGTGTCTCATGCCCCCCCCCAACACAGTGGATGCCGGCCTGGGCCTAGACTGGGATTCCTTGTACTGCACACCTCTCCTCAGACCAGGTCCACCAGCTTTGGTCACTCAGGGCCCTTCTTGGCTTCCCCCGCACCCACACACGCCCACCTCACCCACGCCCTTGTCAGGGCTTTTCAACTCTGTCTTTTCACAAGCCATTCCTGTCAGGCAATTGCTGCGGGAGTCCCTGCTTAGCCTCTGGGCCCAGCCGTAATGTCACCTCCCTAGAACACCCTCCCTAGCCATGCTGCCCCCACCCCTGGTATCTTTCTGAACCAGAAGCCCCCCGGGCTTGCCCTGGGTTGGTCTCTCCTATCCCATAGTCTGGACACAGGAAGAATAAGCACCCACCTCCTAGCAGGGTCATCTGTGGCACCTGGCACCCGGGACAGTTATCTTAACACTGCCTTGGGGTTTCTGCAGACTCCCACTCCCACACTGTGCCCTGGGGAGGGCCTCCTTCGGCCTCTGTCCTCAGCCCCTCAGTGGTTATGGGAGTCAGGGCCTGTCCCTGCACGCCCCTGAGCAACTCACGGCAGCCAGACATCTGCCGCTCCAGGGCAGTCAGCAGGGCGGGCACAGAGGGTTATCAGGAAGAACATCTGGCCAGGGCACCCTCTCCTTACCTCACCAGCCCCGCCCCCACCCGGTCCATCCCAACCCCGCCCATTCCTCTCACCACACCCCTCGGCCACCATCATTCCATCCAAGCCCCTGCAGGCCTCCCTGGACCACACTTGTCAAGGGTCTGTGTCCTTAAACACCTCCCCACCCCCACCCCCACCCACCACAGCTGGACCCCAAGCTCACCTTGGCTCCCACACCCCAGGCCACCTTGACTGGCTTGTTCTGATGGCCCAGCAGAAACGGCCCCTCCTTCAAGGAGCTTTCCTGGGGGGCCACCCTTCCCCCCAGAGCTCTCCCATCACCCAGGGCTGATCCTTCATGGAATTTCTGACGATGGGAAGTTGTCACGCTTCTTTGCTAAGAGGTTTCTTGTGTGAACTCCAAGAGGGAAGGGACCCATGTCTGTTCTCTTCCCTGGTGTCCTCAGGACCTGGGCTCTTGGATGAATGAATGAATGAACGAATGGGGTATGGGTGCCTGGGTGAACGTGACCTTGAGTGAGTGTGGGACCCTCTCTAGGCCTCACCTCCTCACCCTCCCCTCCCCACTCTCCCCTCCCCTCACCACAGCAGCCTTCCGCTACCCACCCCTCCCTGGCTTCCGTAAAATGGGCTAATAACGTCTTACCCCCAGATCCTGGGAGGACTGACCCAGTTCCCCGTTCACACTCAGCCACGGCTGGGTCCCAGCCACCCACGCAGCGCCTCCTCCCGGCCCCGCCCTGCCGGGCCCCTCCCAGGTGCCTCTAGAAGAGCAGGCAGCTCCCACGGCACCCCAGACTCGGCTGCACGCCATGGGGGGTCTGAGGCCCTGGGCCCGCTACGGGCTCCTGGTTGTGGCCTACCTGCTGGCCCTGGGGCTTGGGGCTGCCGTGCTCCAGGCCCTGGAGGGGCCCCCAGCACTCAGGCTCCAGGCCGAGCTCAGGGCGGAGCTGGCCAACTTCAAGGCCATGCACGGGGCCTGCCTGCCACCCAGAGAACTGGAGGAACTGCTGGGCACTGCCCTGGCAGCCCAGGCCCATGGGGTCTCCAGCCCGGGCAACGGCTCTGAGGTCAGGAACTGGGACCTGCCCTCGGCCCTCCTCTTCACTGCCAGCATCCTCACCACCACGGGTAAGGCCGCCAGGCAGCCCGATCCAGGGGGCTCCTGGGGCCCTTGCTTTTTGGGGTCCCCAGGATGCAGCCCTTCCCCGTCCCTAAGTACCAGACAGAGGGAGCCCAGGCCCTATCGGGCCCTATGTCACAGCCGGGGCTCCCCACACCAACACACCCCAACTGGTGCCTCCACTTCAGCTGCCAGGAGGGGCGGGGCCTCCCCAGCCCCACCCCCAGGCACCCTTTGAGAGCCAGGAGCGGTGCCCAGACCCCATGGGCCTAGACGAGGCAGGGAACCCAACACAGGGGGATAGATCTGGGGATGGAGAACGGAATGAACCCAGGGAGCACAGCTCAGGACCATGAACTTGGGAGGGGGAGGGAGAGGGCCTGCTGAGATGTTAGCGGAGGCAAGAGGGCCACAGACAGGGAGGAGGGAAGTCCTGGCAGAGGCGACAGCTTGCGCATAGGCCCGGAGAAATAAAGCCATGGAACTCATAGTCCTAGTTTTTTGGGGGTTTTTTGTTTTTTGAGTTGGAGTCACTTCACCCAGGCTGGAGTGCAGTGACACGGTCATGGCCACTGCAGCCTCGAACTGCTGGGCTCAGGCCATCCTCCCACCTCAGTCTTCCAAGTAGCTAGAACCACAGATGCGTGCCACCATGCCTGCCTAACTTTTTGATTAACTGTAGAGATGAAGTCTTGCCAAGTTGCCCAGGCTATTCTCAAACCCTGCACTCAGGTAGTCCTCTCACCGCCTCTGCTTCCCAAAGTGCTGGGATTACAGTTGTGAGCTGCTATATTTTTAATATACAAAGTGCCTAAAGATTGTTTGAATTGAAGTCTGACTTTCCAACTTATTTTGGAAAATCAGGAAATCCATTCAACTGAGCCGGAATTCCCGCAAGGCAACATACTGGCTGGACGGTGCTCTCCGGTCCACCCCACTCCCCACCACTCCCTCTCATCTCCCATGGGGCTCCCGTAGACACTGAGTGCTATCTCTGGACTAGCCGATCCTGTTCTCACAGCATGCCCTGCCCTCCAGTCCCTCCCTGCCCTGCACGCGCTTTCCTGCCTCGCTGGTCCCTGCTGCAAGCTGCCTGTCTGCAGCCCTTCGTGGCAAGCATCAGGACTGATTTCTCTGCCTGTCTCCCCCACCAAAGGGCAGGATCTGGGCAGCTCAGACTCTAGTACAAGGCCCGGCACACAGGATAACGCGATACACACTTGGGAATGAAAGAGTGGGTAACATCCACCGGTTGGGAATTTGAAGTCAGTTAAGGGCAGAGCTGTAGAATCTCTCGGAAAGCCGGGCAGCAATCCTCAGAATTGTACCTGCTTCAAAAGGCCTAAGGAACTGTCTTTTTTTTTTTTGAGTTGGAGTCTCACTCCGTCGCCCAGACTGGTGTGCAGTGACACGCTCATGGCCACCCCAGCATCGGCCTGCTGCTCAGCCTTCTTAGTAGCCAGAACTCCTTCCGCCTCAGCCTTCTTAGTAGCCAGAACTACAGGCGCACGCCACTATGCCCGGCTAATCTTTTGATTTATTGTAGAGACGAGGTCTCACCAAGTTGCCCAGGCTGGTCTCGAACCTCAGGTCTCAGGCAATCCTCTCGCCTTGGCCTCCCAAAATGCTGGGATGACAGACATCAGCCACTGCACCCGGCCAGAACTGTCTTCTTTAATCCTCTCATTTTCCAGTAAAGGGTGGCCCAGAGAGGCTAAGGGACTTGCCCAGGACACCCAGTGATCGAGGGGCGAAGCCAGACAGGACATGGGCCCGAATGGTTCATGCAATTCCGGCCACCAGAGGGCAGCCTTCTGCAGAAGGCGACATGGGGGAAGCCGGACCCCACCTGCCCCCACAGGTATCCCACCCAAGCTCACCACCCACCCTCTCTCTCCTCCAGGTTACGGCCACATGGCCCCGCTGTCCGCAGGCGGAAAGGCCTTTTGTGTGATCTACGCAGTCCTGGGGCTGCCAGCCTCCCTAGCCCTTGTGGCCACCCTCCGCCACTGCCTGCTGCCTGCACTCAGCCGCCCAGGGGCCTGGGTGGCGGCCCGCTGGCAGCTGTCACCACCCAGGGCAGCGCTGCTGCAGGCAGCTGGACTGGGCCTGCTGGTGGCCGGCACCTTCGTGCTGCTGCCAGCGCTGGTGCTGTGGGCTCTGCAGGGCGACTGCAGCCTGCTCGAGGCCATCTACTTCTGCTTTGGGTCGCTCAGCACCATCGGCCTGGGTGACCTCCTGCCCAGCCATGGCCGTGGGCTGCATCCGGCGATCTACCACCTCGGCCAGCTGGCACTTCTCGGTGAGTGCGGCCGCCTGAGACGTGTGGGGGAGGGGAAGAAGCCTGGACCCCATAAGCCATGGGGTGGCTGAGCTTTACGGGTGGAGGGAACCAGGACATGGCATGGGAGTTGGAGTGTGAAGAATCCTGGTGGCAGCCTAAGAGGAGTGTGAGTGGCGCCAGATGCCAGGGCGGGTCACCATGCTGGGAGGCGGAGGGTGGCAACATCACCCCAAGTGCTGTCCGAGTAACCTCTCCTCCCCAGGTTACTTGCTCCTAGGGCTCCTGGCCATGCTGCTGGCCGTGGAGACCTTCTCGGAGCTGCCGCAGGTCCAGGCCTTGGTGACATTCTTCGGGTCCAGGGGCGCAGGGACTGCCGAGGACCAAGGTGGCATCCTAGGCCAGGATGAACTGGCTCTGAGCAGCCTGCCGCCCACAGTCCCCGCCTTGGGACAGGCCCCGGCTTGCTGACAGGGGTCAGATGAGCCAGTTTGGCTCCTTTAAGGCGGAGGCTGAAGAGGAAGCAGCCAAGAATGG